CCCCTATTGGGGACTGACCTGACCTGGCCTGCAACTCAGGCATGTGCCCTGACTGGGCATCCAACCAGTGACCCCTTGGTTCGCAGGCCGGCACTCAGTCCACTGAACCACACCAACCAGGGCTAAAAGCAATGGAATTTTTAAGAAGTGGTATATTATTAGAAACATGGAGGTAAGTATCAGTAGTAACAGCTAAAGGAGTTAGAGCAGTTGTACGGGAGTGAGATCTGTTGGCAAGACTGAGGGCTTTGTTATTTTTTCATTTGCTTATTATGACTTGGAATGCTACTTGAAGTTTTAAAACTACGAGCATTATTATGTCAATAGCAAAATAAAGGCTTTTTTATTTTTTTAAGATTTTATTTATTTAATTTTAGATAGAGGGGAAAGGAGAAACATCAATGTGTGGTTGTCTCTCACACACCCCCTACTGGCGACCTGGCCTACAACCCAGGCGGCGTGTGCCCTGACTGGGAATCGAATTGGTAACCCTTTGGTACACAGACCAGCACTTGATCCACTGAGCCACACCAGCCAGGGCAAAATAAAGGCTTTTTAAAAAGAGGGGTTTGCTGCTAAAAACAATCACTTTTGAGGTTGTTTAGTATTAAACCCCTGAGTTTGGAGGCTTGTGTTCTCAAGAGTCACTTGCATATAAATAATCTAGCATGAGTCAGTAGTCTGCCCTGTTTCCCTTGGGGGACAAAAACAGTGCCTCATGAGCCTAAGAAAGGGTCAAATGAATCCTCACAGGAGGAGGGCAGAAGGAGGAATGTGAGAGAGCTCCGTGGAGGAGTCTAAAGTGAGTGTTCCAGGGAAAGGAAGCACCTTAAACAAAACAGAGGCAGGAGAGCTCATGGTGTTTGTAACAGGAGTTTTGTTGAGATCCCTTGTGTCCCAATTCTGAACTTGTCATGGTCCTTTTGTAGCCCAGTTCTCCATTTCCTCCCTTGAGCCATTATTTATCTGCTGAGACTGGGGAGCTCTAAGGCAGACCTGACCTGCATCTCAGACCACCCTTCTAAACCCTTTTCAACAAATATGTACTGAGCATCTACTATGTACTAGGCATGACATTCAGTACTGGGGATACACAGACTCCCCATGTTTCCAGCTCTCATAGAACCTACTGCAGCCATTGGGAACAATTACAAAGGTAAAGCACAAGGACTTATGGGACCATGTAACAGGAGGTCTTACTCAAATCTGGGGGTCAAGAAACTTTCCTGGAGGAAGTGATAGAGAAATTATTATGGGACCTATCAGGTCCCAGCATTGGGAGCAGCTGGGTATCTCCAGGGCTCCAGCTAGGTTCCAACTGGGAGCAGAATGGAAGACAAGCTGCTCAGTCCCAGGCCTCCCCACTGCCTGGGAGGCTGGAGTTCAGTGACGGTGCAATGAGGCATCGAGCCAGCAGCGTGGGTCTGGAAGGGGTGGCAAATGTGTCAAAGGCATTAAGACTTCCCCAAACTCCGCAGGCTTTGTGGAGCCTGACCCTTTGTTAATTTTAGCCCCCTTTGGCACTCCTGCACAGTGCTTCTCTCCCCCAGGAACACGCCGAATGCCCAGGGAAGTGTGATACCCTGACTCTCAACTAGAAATACTCAGTTGCCTACCCCCACTCCTGCTATTCTCCTGGAAAATGGCCTGCCAAAGGCAAGAAGCTACATTTTGAAGGCTCTGGTGTCCTGGATGCAGTGATGACATCTGCAGTTTTGACCTGGAACACCTCCTGTAAATGGTGCAGTGACACTCCCAGGGGTTAGAATGACCTTAATGACTCCTCTGCCCTACCCCCTTGAGAAACTCTTAGGTCTAGACACCTGTACACCACTCACCCAGGTCACATCTCATCCCTTTTGGGGCAGCAAAGACAAACAGCCCCAGAGGCCTCCACTCTCCGACCTGGCTCAAATGGGAGTTTGTCCCCCTGCCACAGAGCCAGGAAAGAATTGGCTCATTCACTATTCATTCATTCATCACTGTCACAGGTGGGCACAGGTAACCAGGTTCTTCGTGATTGGGACAAAGAATTGAACTGAACACCCAGAGTTCATAGAAGAGAACATGGGAGCAGGTCAACTCCAAGCAGAGATTGACCTCAAGGGCTGGAGGGACTTTATTCTTATAGGGTGGATCCTTCCTGGCTAGTTTTGGTGGGCTTTTACTGAGTATATACAAGTAGTTGCATTACTTTAAAGCTACTGCACATGTGGTTTCCCATGATCCTCCCCGATTGGCCACCAGGGAAGAGGGTCCCACAATACTAGGGAATTAATCCCCGTTTCTCCTGGGGTCCCCCTGTACTAGGTTCACCTTTCTCTAAGCCAGAGAATTATAGCTCTCCATGCTAGAGATTGGTGAAAAAGAAAAGAGTTATTTATTCAAGTTATACAGACTAAAAGTAATGACTTAATGTCTTTGTTAAAATCCCAAAGTCCCTTGAAATACCCACAAACACACACAGTCCTTCCTTCCCGCCTTTGCCCAGTCTGGGGTACTGTATCTCAGAAAAAGAAATAGAAGTCCGTGGCTTAGGCAGTTCTTGGTTTTTCCTAGTAATTTGTGCTCAGCTGGCAGGCCTTCCTTAGTTCCCAGCACCATTGGTTGTGTTGTCAGGATCTCCAGCTAAAGCAGCGTAGTGATTCTTCCCATGGCTGCAGGGGGGAGGGGGGGATCCCCCTTTCTGGGAGAGCGACTGCAGTGGCAGCAGCAGCAGCAGCACCAAGAGGGCTAGCGCGGAGCTCATTGTGTCCTGGCCAGAGCAGGTGGCTGCAATGTTAGCTGAGCCCGAGAGCGGTGAGAGCACGGGCACAGCTTGCGGAGGCCTGGCGGTGGCTGCAGTGGCCGGGCAGTGACCCGGTGCTCCCGAGTCATTTACTGGTGGCCCCTTCTCTCGGCCACAGCTGCAGAGCCGGCTGGGGCTCGGAGCCGGGTGGTAGAGGAGCTGCAGGCGGCTGCATCGCGGACGGTGTCTGCATGGCTGCGGGAGTCCCCACTCTGCTAAAGCCGCATGGTTCTCTCCTCAATGGCCGCCAAGTCTGGATTTTAAATCCCGCGCCAATCTTCTGCAGCCCCATTCCCGACTCTTCCCACACTCGGCCTCACATGCCAGAACTCTCAAAGCCTTCTAGCTTTACTGGACTGCCATTGTTGGTCTGGGCAGGTGTGGCCCCGTCATGGAACCAATCATTTCCAAGTTCTCACGCAGGTACAGGCGTGGTAACCAGGGGGAGTTGCCTCCCAGGCTCCAAACTAGGGAAAGTTACTTCCATTTCCCTGGCTGAGAGTTTGGCCAGAGCTATTTAACATATCTATGTAACCAGCCAAAGGCCATAGATATGTTAAAAGACCACACCAGAGGGTAGCTGCAAGGCTGTTGCTATGGGAAACAGCTCTCAATGGCCCTGCTCCATTTGTCCCTTCCCCTGGAGTGGAGGGTAAGGACATTCTATATATTTTTCTAATATTTCCTGGACACCTTGAGTTCTGAACCCCATTCCAAATCTCTATTTGGGGACCCTTTGGCTGCACCCTCCTACATCACCACTGATCCCATCTCAGGCTAACTGGTGGAGATAGACCAGGAGAAACTGCTCTAGGTGTTGTGTCAGGGATTTGTGCTGCTGGAAACAGTAGAAGCAATAATGAGTCGCATGGGAAGTAGGGAGTGGAAGTTAGGAAGCCTTTAAGAAAAGGAGGCCTAGCACTAAGTCACAACTGCTACGTTCATTGGTTTTTCCCAGATATAAAAGAGAAGTGCATCACTAGCTCAGCCTGGAGAAATGAAATTATCTGCCATTCGGGGAGCAGACTGGAGCCTGGAATATGGGGAGAGAAGGGAGAAGGGAAACAAAGGCAGATGTGGAACTGGATGGAGCACCTGGCTCCAGCCAGGCTGTGGAAGACCTCTCAGTAAGCTTCAAGCTTGTGAACTTTATCCTGAGGGCAGTGTGGACTCATTAAAGGTTTTCAGTAAAAGATAAAGACCTTCATCTCCAGGATCTTCCTGCCCAAAACCCATAACCCAGATCCAATCATGAGAAAAACACCAGAGAAGCCCAAATTTTAGGAATATATTACAAAATACCTAACAGGTACTCTTCAAAACTCTCGAGATCAGTGAAAACAAGTCTGAGGAACTGTCAGACCAGAGGAAGCTAAAGAGGCATGACAACTAAATGCAATGTGGTGTACTAGGAGAGATTCTGAAACAGATAATGGACATTAGGGGAAAATGAGAATTAAAATCCAAATAAACTTTGAGGTTTAGTTAACAGTAATTACCATACAGCTGTACAATGGAATATCATCCAGCAATAAAAATTAAAATACTGTTACAATCTTGAAAACATGCTAAGTGCAAGAAGCAGACACATAAAACACGAAGACCACATATTGTGCGATTCTGTTTGTATGAAATGTCCAGAATAGTCAAATCTACAGAAAGAGGAAGAAAATTAGTGGTTGCCAGAGACTGGAGGGTAATGTGGGGCAGTGAGGAGTGATGGGAACTGTAATGGGTGGGGCTGCTCTTAGGGTAAGCAAAAGCGCACTAAAATTAGACTGTAGCGATGATTGTACAACACTGAATAGACTAAAAACCACTTTAAATGGGTGGATATCTCAGTAATTTTGTTAAAAATAGTAATGTTGGTTCACTAGTTGTAGCAAGTGTGCCACTGAAAGGGGGAAACTGAGTACTCTCTATACTACTTTTGTTCATTTTTGGGAAATCTACAAAACTCTTTATAAAATAGCTTATTTACTTATTTAAAAATTTATTTAAATAAGTAATTTTTTTAAAAAACTTACACTTGAAAAGTTATACACACATACAGTTTTTTTTTTTTTAAAGCTAGGGAGTTATGTGTTGATAGGGGCTTGAAAGAGAGATGTGGCCACAGGGAGCATGTGACAGTCTTCTTGAGGGGGAGAGGCATGCAGAGGTTAGGGTGTGGGTTAGTTTCCTATTGGGGCTGTAAGAAATGACCACAAACTTGATGGCTAAAAACAGCATGTTTTATTATCTTAGAGATGTAGCTGTCAGAAGTCCAAAATGATTTTCACTGAGCTAAAGTCCTATCAACAAAGCTGCATTCCTTTATGGAGACTGGATAGAATCCTTTTTTCTTGCCTTTTCCAGCTCCTACAGGCCACTGCACTCCTTGGCACATGACCCTTCCATCCTTAGAGCCAGCAGCAGTGTAGTATCTCCACCCACCTCTCACTTTGACCCTGCAGACTCCCTCTTCCATGCTACAGGACCGTGACTGCACTGGGCCCACCTCAGTATCATTCATTTCTATACAAGCCCTTTTGCTTTGTAAGGTCACATACTCATGGGTTCTGAGGTTGAAGATGTGGACATCTTTGGGTGGCAACCGTTCTGCCCAGTGTCACAGGGAGGTGAACACAAGGAAAGGCTGCGAGGGGAAGGTCAGCTCTGGATAGGTGGAGCCTCAGGTGCCAGTGGGACCTCCAGGGCAGCTGTCCCTTGGCTTCTACTCACCAAACACTGAGCAACTCCCATGATTTAGTCACTGGGGAATATAAAGGTGAACACTCTATTTCATTGGTCTTAACCTGCTTTTTACCTTTGAACACTTCTGAACTCAGGATGCACCTTTTAATCAATGACATATAGGTAGAATTTTCTTTCCTAATGACTTGAAGTAAACCATCTTGCAACCAAAGGCATCTGATAATAAATGAAAACTAGGTCTGGCTTAGCACGAGAGTGAGTCTATTATATGAGTTGGAGACCTCACTAGAATTATCAGGTAATCCCACCTCACCTCACCCATCTTCCCTAGTTCCTGGCCTGGCTCCTCACACTCTGGTGCTCAGCTCTCCTTTAATTGACAAACTCCACCAGAGCCCTGGCCACACACTTGATCAGCTACGCTACCACAGCAGGATCTAGGAACTGGCCCCTCCCCAGGTATAACCTTACTCATGGAGATCAGGCCCAATGGTTCTCCACCTGGCCAACATTCTCCACATTGGAAACACCTGGGAGTTTTTAACCGCCCCCCGCCAACCTCCAGGCCACTACCTAGACCAATCATTCAGATTCTCTAAGGAATAATTTTACAGCTCCCCATCAGATTCCAATGGAGAGCCAATGTGGAAAAGTAGAGGAATCAACCTAACTTGGTGCCCAAATGAGGAGAGGCCTAGGGCAGCACTAATGGGACGGGGTGGTGGCAGTGTCAGGTCCAGGCTATACAATAATACCTGTCTGCCTCCCTCCTCAGCACTCACACTCCCTGGAAAGGGACCAACCCAGTTCTCTCAGTTCCCTCAAGGCACTAGCCCTGTGCTAGGCACACTGTGGGAGCCCAGGAAAGGTAAGCTTTAGGACCTCAAACACCAGGCAGAAAAGACCTGGTACCAAAAAAGTCTGGAAAAAGAGCCCATCTGGGCCAGCCCTCTGATTCAGAGTAACCTCCAGTGAGGTAATACCCCTTAGTGCCTGCTCATTGGATAGTTGCCCCAAGTGGCCTTGAAGGGGCTCCATGAGCCAGTGCTGAGTTTTCACTTCACTTAAAGAGCTTGAGGCAGGGGGGAGCCAGTGAACACCAGGCTTCTTACACCCAACAGATGTCCCAGCCTTCAAGGCCTTAAGTCTCCACTTCTGGGGCTCTATGCTATACTGGCTGCAAAGACAAAGACTCTAAGGTCCTAAAAGCCAAAGACCTAAGAACAGCAAAACAGGAACCCGCAATACTGGAGAATGATGTGTGAGTGAAAGGATTTTTTAGATGGTGAGCAGTCTGGGTGGGGAGTCCACAAGCCACCTGACAGCCCTGGCTCTGCCCCTAGGAGTGGTAAACAAAGATGAGATGGTTCAAGGGACCAGAAATTCCCAAAGAAGAACTTCATGAGGAAACATTCAAGGGCAAAGGCAAATCCAAAGGGGCTGAGGAGGTCCCTGGCTTCTGGCCATCAGCACAGCCAAGGACCTAACACACAACTACAGGCTTTTATTGGGAAAGGAAAAGCGACTGAAAAGTGGCCCGCAATAAACTCACTGCCTGAGGCAGCTGGGGCTCCTTCCAGAGTCCAAAAAAGAAGGGGCCACCAAATTGGCCCTCAGAAGGCTCAGGTGTAGAGGTCAAAGTCAATTCGTTTGGAGTTGTAGAACTGTCCACCAGGGGGATCCAGCTTCCGGCAGTAAACACCATCAGGGAAGTAGCCTTCATTCACCCAGGTCTGCAGGAAGAGAGGGCAGAACTGGAGCAGGACTGATGGGGTAAGGGCTGGGCAGAAAGAAAAGAGGCGCAAAAGGGTTTACCTGCATCTGGGTGCTGGTGAAGGGCCCGTACAGCTCAGCATCCCCTGTGTTCTCCCACTTATATTCCCACATCACGTCCTCCAGACCGTCTCCTGGAGACTCTGCTTCTAAAATAACAGGGAAGCCATTTGGGTCTCAAGTGTCCCGCTCCTGTCACAACACCCCTCCATCTGCCCTCAAATCTCACCTCCTCTCTGGACAGGCATTGGGGTCTCCAGCTCTCCCTCTGCCACTTCCTCAGCAAACATGTCCAGAGAAGGTTGGGATATGGGGTCAGGGGGTCCCTGGGTCCGGCACCCTAACCCCTTCAGCTGCATGGCTAATCGTTCTCTTGTCTCCTGATAAACGCCAAGGTTGCCCCGAGCCACCATCTGGTCAGCCAACCCAGACAGCCGGTCCAAGCGCTGGGGGGAGCTTGGCCGTCCAGGTCCCTTGCTGCCCCTTTTGCCCCCTCCTCTGGCCCCCAGACGCCTCAGTGCCCCAGCCACTGTCTCTCTTGGCAACAGGAGCTCCAGAAGGCCCTCAAGGAGGGCTTGGGGACTCATTGGTGTCTGGCCCAGGCTGTCTTCCTCCTCTGAATCTGACCGTGAGTGCTGATCAGGTGGCCGCTCCCTGATCTTCACCTGTAATGTGAAAAGACAGGGGTTATTTCCCACAAACTATCAGCAAGGCCCAAGCACTTGCTGCCTCCAGATTCCAGCCATGCCAGCCCCTGAGCCACACCCAGTCAATGTTGTCCAGCCAGCTGTCTCGGATCTGGGCATCCCGGTTCAGAAAGTAGTTGCCATCTGCATCAAAGTGGCCTTCTTCCATCTCTTCCTGTAGGTTGAAGGGTGTGATACGCACACCTCCCTCACTGGGAAGTGTGGCTGCTTCCTGACCTGCACCAAAGACACAGGCATCCATGCTAGGCATGCAAAAGAGACACGAGCCTCCTTTGCCCACAGTCCCAGAAGCCTATTTGTTCCCCCAATAGAGTTAATTTTTAGGTATAGCTCACCTTCCACATCCTCTGAGGCCAGGATGTCATATTTGCTGGACCCCTCATCGTCATCCTCCTCATCACTGTCCAAAGAGTGTTTGCCTTTGAATCGGCTTCCAGGACCCCCTGCCCCAGCCACAGGGTCCACCAGCTGTGAGCAGGAGCCAGACAGTCCACAGATGCAGGTTACTGGTTACTGAAGGGAACCAAAGTTTTGCCACCCTGAAGCTGCCTTTTTGGAATATTAATTTTAAGCTGGTGTGGCTCAGTGGATTGAATGCCAGCCTGTGAAAGGTCGCCAGTTGGAGGCTTGTGAGAGGCAACCGATTGATGTTATCTCTCACACATTGATGTTCCTCTTCCTCCCTTTTTCCCTCCCTTCCCCTCTCTCTAAAAGTAAATAAATTTTAAAAAGTTAAAAGTAAATGAAAGAAGACTCAAAAAGAACTTTTGACCTCCCCCTTTCCTGCCCAAGAGATTCAGATAGAAAAACCTACTATGGGAAGGAAATCTTAGGATGTTCACCTCAGTCTGATTTGAATTAAGTATGGTAAATAGTAGGGCTTTACACAAGAGCCTTTAAGGTATATATTCCCTGTGACCTACTGTTTCTTGAGTTGCCTAGCAAGAATTTGCCTGCCATGTGTGTTCTGCTCTTCCTCAACTGTAAATCGCTGATTCTCACTTCTGAAATCTAAGACTCCATTCCCCATTTTTACTCCTTTGTCCAAAATGTCACATATACCTAATGTTGCCTCACAGTCCTTGGAATTTTCATACTTATGTGAATTTCCCATGTGCATGTATTAAAATCTGATCTTCCCCTGTTAATCTGTCTCTGTTAATTAGACTATTGGCTCAGATAGAACTTAGGTGAAAGGTAAAGTATTAACTTTTTTCTTAGCACCCATACAATTCCTCAAAATGCTCTAAGATCTGGACTCAAACTGAAAATCCTCCAAACCCACTTCTCAAAGAACATGGAAAACTAGCCCTTTCGACCCTTTTTTCTTTCTTTTTCTTTCTCTTTCCCTCTTTCTTTCTTCCTTTCCTCTCTTTCCTTTCCTTCCTTCCTTCCTTCCTCTCTCCCTCCCTCCCTCTCCTCCCCCCCCCTCTCTCAAAGCCTTTTCCCTCTTCTGGCTACTAGAAGAAAAAAGGAACTAGATCCTTTTTCCTCCCCCTCACTTTTCCCCAGAATGTAGGAGTCTGGCCTCCTCACCTTCTTCTTAGGAACACTGATTTCATCCTCATCATCCTCATTTCCCACGCCTTGAAAGGTCACTTTCCTCTTTGGCATGACTGGACAAAAGGTCTTCCCCAAACCGAGCTAAGGAAAAGGGAGCAGATTAAGGGAACTAGGCGAGGAAGATACTCACCACGAGAGGTCCCCCAGCTCAATAAACATTTCCCTGGGAAGGTATTAGATCCAGTTTGTGAGGGGAAGTAACACAAAATCAGGGACCGAAAGGGGACCTGTTTTGATATCCAAAAGAGTTGCTGGAACAGCGTCTGAGAAGTGGACGCGCAGAGGAGCTCCCCCAGGCACCCCCAACCTTGATGAAAGGAGACAGGCTTCCCCTAATAACAAGCCGCCGAAATCCTGGGCGCGACTCGATCCGCCGGCTGATGCCTGCTCCTCCACTCCCAGCTCCCTCAGACCCCGTGAGGCCCCAGCGGACTCAGGACTTCGCGCCCTGGCCGCCCTGCCCCATACTTCCAACTCCGCGGGTGACCCCCAACTGTCTCGGACTATGCGTACAAACTAGAGACGCGACAGAACCACAGAGATTCGAGCAGTCCCACTGACGCACGCTCACCTAAGAACCCAAGAAAGGCTGCAAAAGGAAAGAGGAGCTGCTTTCGCTAGGGTTACATCCGGGGCACAAGACCGCCATCACCGGAAGAGAACTGCGGAAAGCGCCAGGGAAGGCCGGAAGTGACTTCACTCCTGTGAGACGATTTACTGAAGGAGCGGGCGGGAGTGTGTGATGAGCCGGGGAAACAATGCCGTCCCCTCCCAGAAGCGACGTGAGCAAGTAGGGCGAAAAGAGGGAACGAGTAAACATTTAGACCCTCATCGGAGGAGAGGGATGGCCCGAAGTGGTTTTGGTTCCCTCTCAGAGTAGAGGCTCTGGGGAGAGAGTGGAGCGCACTCGACTTTTAAGGGACTCCCTGAGTCATTCATGGTGGAGAGCAAAATCCGAGCAGGGCCAGTGGGCTCCTGCCCTAGTTGCCCTATCCAAGGTTGTGTCACCTTTCCCCAGGACTGGCCAGGAGCTCTGCGCCCCTCTTATTGAAAATCCTATTTTCCCACTCTCAGCGTTCAGTTGTCTGCCCTCTTCTAGCCCAAGGTACAGTTTCGCCCCTCTCCCAGAAGGCAGGCCCAGTTCTCCTGATGGCCCGCCTGGAGGATCCTGACCACTGCGGGGCACTTACGAACCCAGCTTCCTTTAGGACCTGGGGGAAGTCATTTACCTTACGCCAGTACCCAGGGCGAGTTCCTGATTTCTGAGGTGGAAAGGGCCATCAAAGGGGAGGTTGCAGTGGTACCTGTGCCCAGTACCCGGGCCAGAGCCCCTCGTGCCCTGATCTCAGATAGGCCTGGAGAAAGGCACAAGAGCCTCTCTCTCCAATCACAGCCGCAGAATAAAGCCCCTCTCTTAGCCCCATGGCTCCTGCCTAGGGTCTGTAGTCTGGTCTAAGGCTGAGCTGGAGTAGGAAAGTGGGAGGAGTGGGTCTCAGGGCTGTGTGGACAACACTTCCAGCTCTCTAGGACACTCCTGAAACCCACTAGGCTAAGGCTGTACCCAGGAAGAGCCTACTGGAACCATAGGAGGGCAGCATGGGGGTCCCCAGGGTAATAAGATGGACCACCCCTCTCCTGCCCTGTTTCCTCTAGATTGTACTACCATGAAACTGCACCGAAGCCTGTGCTCAGTTTCTTCTGTGGGTACAGAACACCAGCTCCAAACCAGGAGGGCATCTTGCTAAAGAAGAGGGCTGGGCCCTAATTACCAGCTACCAGCGCCACTGATTCATCCTCTGGGGGAACCTCCTCTCCTACCAGGACCAGGCAGACCACACACCCGTGGGCCTCATCCTTTTGGAGAACTGCCAGGTGGAGCCATGCCCTGGGGCCACAAAAACCCTATTCCTTTACCACCCTGACCCCCAAGGCAGCGGGCCTACAAGCTGGCAGCAGAAAACCAGGGGCTGAGAGTTTAACTGTGAACTCTGGAAGCAGCTGGCTGCACCACCCCCTGCCCCCCACAACACCCTGACCCCCACACACACAGAACAGAGGCCCAGTACCAGCAGCTATGCCAGGCAGCTGGCCAAGAGCCCAGCTCACACCACCCCCACCCCCAGACTGGCTTTCTAGCCACCCTCAGTCCCCCTCGTTTCCCTGAGTGCTTTGGGAAGGAGATCCAGATGATGCAGGTGATACATAGAGGGTTTTAGAGAGCCAGTGATAATGCAGGCAGTAGATCCCAAGCAAAGGTGGAGGAAGAACTCAACCACTGTTCGTTGATGAACTGGGATGGACCAAAAGCCAAGAGGTACCTTACCTGTCGAAACCAGCCCAGTGCTTCAGTAGATCTGGCTCACTCATGGCTCACTCCCTCCCTCCCTCTCTAGTCCTTATCCCAACCCCCCTCATCAAATAACAAGGCAAGAGACAGTCCCAGGTACAATAGCAGGTTCTTTTCTGGTTTCTCAAAAGCGCTGCATGGCATGGGGGCAGATACAGAAGAGAATGTAAACATTGGGTTCCACCCCCTGGAACTCAAAAAAGACCCCTTTCCCAGATAGGAGCCGGAGTCTTAGAAGGGATCAAGGTGAAAGGTGGAAGTCCTGATGAGGCAAAGTAGGGGAAGCCTCAGAATAGAGGAAAGTGGGTGTATGAGAGCAGGAGGGTGGTGAGCGAGGAAATGGGGGACATTTCCTGTTCCAGTGCATGTCCCCTTAAATAAACTAAGAGTGCAAGAACATTGTGGAAGGAGACCCAAAGGACAAGATAGAGAGAACAGCCCTACTCTGGGCCAACCAGGTCCTTTGTACATAATTACAACAGAGATGTCCAGAAGTCAAGCAAGGAGGGCCCTGGTCCCCAGCCAGAAACGGGGAGGCAGGCAGTACTGAATAAAAAAAAAAAAAGAACAAAACAAAACACCAGTTCCACTTCATGGGTAATGGGAGCAACCAGAGTGTAAGAATCTGAAAACTGCTAACTCCCATTGCCAGGAGTCACCTTGTGGTGACAAAAGGCCAATCAGGACAGCACCTGGGAAGGGACTTCAAAGGGAACTGGGGCAGGAGTGACAGACCCCAGCTGGGCCTAACTCCAGACTTGTTCAACAGCTGTCTGTCTCAGGGAAATGCAGCTGCCCCATGCACTCTGACTGTCCTGGCTGTGTAAGGATTGCAGCTGGCAGGGAGATGGGAATCAAGCCATTTTCCTCAGAAAGAGGGACAGTCTGCTGAAGGGCCTGCTCTTGGCTGAGAGAAAAAGAGGGGGGCCATGAAGTCCAGCCCCAGGGCAGAAGTCAGAAATAAGCATCCTGCCGGGCCTCAGAGACTGAGGACCTATCCCCACCATCCTGGGGAGGTGGGGGCCCATCTGCCTTTCGACGCAGTGAAAGCTTCCTGCCTTGGGCCTTCTTCTCTTGCTTCTGCTGCTCCTTCTCCTGCTTCTGCCGTTCCTTCTCCTGCTCTTTTTCCCATTTCTGCCGCTCCTTCTCCCGCTTCTCCCTCTCTTTCTCCTGTTTTTGTCGCTCCTTCTCACGTTCCTTCTCCTGCTTCTGCCGTTCCTTCTCCTGCCTCCGGGTCTCCTTGCCGGGACCCAGTGGGGTGCTGTTACCAGTAGGCGAAGGAAGGGATGGATGCAGTCCCTCAGCAGTGACCACAGGCCCTGGGACAGGCCCAGCACTGGCCTTGTGGGAAGGTGGGGGTGGAGATGGGGCCCCTCCAGCAGCCAGGGAGCCTCGGCTCTTAAGGTTACTGAGGCTGAGGAGGCTAGAGGAGGGGCCAAGAGGTGGCTGCTGCCGCCGGCGCTCCTCATGGATGGCCCGGGAGCCGTGTAGTCTCCGTGAAGGCCGATACTGTAGCTCCCCCCGGGTTTCCCGCCACTTCTTGAGCTGGGCTGTGTTTTCTCGCTCAATCAGTGCTTCTGTCACTGGGAGGTTAGTCACCTAGATGGAGAAGAAATGGGTACCAGAATGCAGATGAGGTGAGGATGGCTTAAAGTAAGTGTGGAGTTTGCCGAGGCCAGGGCCTACCTCATGCACCAGGAAGTCCTCCTGCATGCACTGTTGGGGCAGGTTGCGCAGCTGCTCCATGGTTTCATACATGCCCTGGCAGGAGCGCAGCTTCTCCACTGAGCCCAGTGTGTGCCGCAGCAACACCAGGGCCACCCGGAAAATGATCTTTACGCCTGCATTATCAGAGAAAAGACAGCACAGGTGACCATGCCTGGGACCTCTGCCTGTCCCATTTAGGAGGGACTCACAACTCCCATCCCTGTCTACTGCCAACCTTACACAAGAGGAAACTGAGGCCCCAAGAAGAGAAATGAGCTGCCATGGGTCTCAGGTTCCTGGGAGGGAGAACAGGCTCTGGGCTGGTGGCAGAGCCAAAACCAGGCCTCAGTTTCCAGCCCCCAGACTCAACAAGCACCTTCTATCAGCAGACCACCACCTGGGAGGTGCCACGAAAACCCCAGCCCCCTCATGGCCTGAATGGCTATAAATATACCTTCACAGAAGAACATATCCCAGACACGCAGCACAGAAGCCCAGGGCAGGGTGCGGGCAAAGATGCACATAAACCATTCCGTCATGTAGAGCACAGGGTCAATGCGCTGCCGCCGCAGGTGCCGGTGTGCCAGTGGGGAGGCCCGGCGCAACAGTGCAAAAAAGATTTCTCCATCCAGCTGAATGGCCTCCTAGAAGTGAGGTGAGCCATGAGAAAAGGCCTGCTGTGGCCCCTTGATATAGAACTAGATCAAGCAGAGGATCCTCACCTTAGTGGGACAGACCCAGAGCAGAGGGACAAAAAGGCAGAGGGTGAGGCAGGGCAAGGACCTCCTTGCAGCCTTGGGGAAAAGTCACAGCCCTATTATACCAAGCCTCCAGACACTCACCAGCCCTGCACTGTAGTAACCAGGGAGGTACTTGTCGCAGATCTGCACCAGGCACCAAAAGGCTTGCTGAGAAGGATAAGAACAAGGAGGAAGGGATGGGTTCTGAGAAACAAAGCAGAAAGCTCTCCCATCTCCTCCCCAACCTGGACCAGAGTATGCTGACCTCAGCAGGCATGTGCATGAGCAGCACTGCAGCCACTGGGGCCTGGGCCTGGCAGTAGCCCTCGTCAGGCCGGTAGATAGTGTAGGCCTTAAGGATTCGATACAGGTCCTGTTGCCTGTGGGTATTGGGAAAGACCATGAGGGCAATCACAAGAGTTGGGAGCTCTCTGACCCAAACTAAACTTGCCCCACCACCAGCCCCAGCCCCAGCCCCAGCCCTTTCCTAAATCTAATTCTAGATTAACCTCAGAGCTCTACCCACACACCTCCATTTCCCTTCCTAGTCCTGCCTGTCAAGCTCAAACCAAAGACTCAGACCACAATCAAAGCACTCCAGGCTGCAGATTTCCACCCTTGTCTGCACACCTCACATGCTACCTACCATTCCCCAGCAGTCTGTGCTTGCTCTCCCTCCATCTGTCAACATCCCATAAACCTTCAAGGTCATCTTCGTGAGGAAGCTTTCAATATTCACAGCTTCAGTCTTCCTCTAGCATTGTCTGAATGCTTTTAACATCCCAGAGGAGGAGCTCTCCAGGGCAGGGCCTGCCTAATCTTTCTCTCAGATTTCATCAGTGCCCCGCCCCCCACCCCCAACACCTTCAGTGTTGGTCCTTAGTGTTGGCTCTGGTCCTTAGTGAAGGCTTGGGAAGCCACCTGTACCTCAGACCCTTCTCTTGTCTCTACATCCAAAAGAATAAAATCTCTGCTCTAGACCTGCTTGTCTTCCTTGAGGGTTGCCCCATTGCTGTGTCTTGGAATTCCATCCACACAGCCTCACATCAAAGAACAGAAAGCCTTCCTTCATTACCCATGCTTAATCACCAAGTCCTACCAACACTATAACCTGAATTTCATTCATTCTGTTCCTTCTCTCCACCTCCAAGCCACTTCACATTTCAGACCTTCATCACTTAACCAGAAAAAAGTAATGTTCCCAGAACTCCATCACTGAAGTATGGTCTTCACTTGTCCTTTATCTGTTTACCACCCATACTAGTATTCTCCACTTTGCAATAGCACCCATGAAATGACAGGTTTGACATACTGCTCGTTTCACCTAATACCTGTCTGCTTCTGTGCCCTGCCATCTCCCTTGGTGCTACGTGTGAACTGTCTATGATCCTGGCCAAGCATAGCCTTTCCACTTGGGACTGAATCCCATCTCCTCTTGCCTACACAGGCCCCCTTCAGCAACCTTCCCATCTCTCCTGCATCATCAATTTTTCTCCTACTATATCATTCTCACTGGCATAGTAACATCCATTATTTCCTCTAGCTTAAAGCAAGTCTCTTGACCCCTTTCTCCACTATATATTGCACTGTTTCTTTCCTTACCTATTCAGTGAAACACCTCCAGAATATAAACTCACTGTCTTCAATTTCTTTCTTCCCTTTTCCCAGTCAGGCTTTAACCCCATGTTCTTCACAACTGTTTTTATCAAGGTCACCAAAGACCTCCACAGTGCTAAGTCCAGAGGTCAATTTGCAGCTTTACTTTACTTGGCCCATCAGCAAAATTCCATACAGCTGATCCTGAAACCCCTCTTCACTTTGCTTACAACAGGGTGACAAACTCATTTTCACCAGGGGCCACATCAGCCTCAAGGTTGCCTTCAAAGGGCCAAAATAATTTTAGGACTGTATAAATGTAACTACCCCTTAACAGTTAAAGAGTTGAAATTACATTCAACCCTCTGAAGGCAACCACAAGGCTGACGTGGTCCCTGGTGAAAATGAGCGTGACACCCCTGGCTTACAGGAATCACACACTCCTGGTTTTCCTTCTAACTCTCCAGCTTCTCTTCCTAGTCCCCTTTACTAGTTCGTTCTCAGTAATTACTATTCTTGAAATGTTAGAGCGGCAGGGCTCAATCTCTGTGCTTCCTTTCTTATATATACTTGCTGCTTTGTCAACTTCATCTAGTTCCAAGAGTGAGACTTAGTCCCATCTAGAGGCTGACAGCTCTTCAATTTCCAGTTTAAACCTCTCCCCCAAATCCAGCTGTATATATTATACATCTAATCCACTTGACATCTCCATCTGTCTAATAAGCATTTCAAACTATACATTTTAAAACTGAGCTCCTGATACACTTCCCAAGCCTACTTTTCCCCCGGTTTCCCCCAACCACATCAGTATATGGTAACTCCATTCTTCTAGTTTCCCAGGCCAAAAACCTTGAGAGTCACCATAACTTCTCCCCTCTCTTTACACTCCACATCTAACCGACTGGCAAATCCTTTTGGCTCTACCTTCAAAATATAACCAGAATCTAACCACTTCTCCCCACAGTTCCACTGCTACCACCCTCATCCATCAATCTCTCTCCTGGAACATGGAAACAGTCTCCTAATTGGTCTCTCTGCCTTTGCCCGTGTTTCCTTACAGGCTATGCTCAGCACAGCAGTCAGGATGATCCTTTTAAAACACAAGTCAGATCTGGTCATCTATAACCCCAATCTCTATTCACATTCTCTATTCCCGTTCCTTGCTTTAAACTCCTCTTTAATACTTACCATCATTTATTTCACATAAAATGTGCTTTCCATCATCTTATTGCCTAGCCCCACTAAAATATAAGCCCAATCAGGGCAGGAGTTTTTGTCTCTGGTTCACTGCTGTCATCTGTGACTGGAACAGTGCTTGGCAGATAGCACACGCTCATTAACTTTCTCAAAGGATGAACTTATTGATAAAAATATCCGAGAACCACCTAAGATCATCTTGCATATTACTGGGGGGTAGTATGTATACATCTTGAGGGAGCCTGGGATAAACAACAAAAATTCAAGTGCCTTGGCCCTAAACTGCTTTTCCAGCCTCAGCTCTATGCGACCCTGCTGTCCAAACACAGCTTACATAACCCCCCAGGCAGTTAAAACTTGTCCCCTGCTCTGTTCCCAACTGGCCTTCAAAACCCAGCTCAAATGCCATGAGCCCTTGATGTACCTCCCTCTCCCACCCCCTACCATGTACCTCCACCACCCCCCATTAGAGTCTTCTTCCCAGAACACTTCCTTTAATATGGCTTGACACTCAATCCATGAAAGACCAGTCTTCTAGAAGTCCTGGAGAGCATGAACTGCTTTCAACCCAGTCCTATATCCATCTGGAGCCTTCCATAAATGTTTGCTAACTGACTCACGTGGCTAGGCACCTTACCCATGCCCCCCTCGAGCAGCAAACATCTCATGGAAAGGGAACTGGCGGTGCAGGTCCTTCTCAATCACATCCAGCCACTTGGGGTCCCCAGGAGCCCGTTCCAGCTCCTGCAGTGCAACAGCAGAAATTACCTCAGGATCTGGGGGTGCTAACGATACCCTTCACCCAGTGTCACATGTCCCCACACCCTGGACGCACCTCAAACTTGCCGGGGTTCTGCTCCAGGAGTTCCTTGCTATTGGACAGATACTGCCAGGCCTTGGCTCTGAGGGAGGAGGGGATTCCCTTCCGGCAGCGCAGCTTCACCTACGGCACAGAGTGGCAGGCAGGGGGACAGCTTCAGGAGCTGGCCCGGCCTCCAAGTTTTCCCCAGCTGTCCTTAGGCTCCTTGGGACACCCCTCCCACATCCATAGCTTGACACCACTAGACCTGGCCTGGTCTTCTATCTTTAAAGCTAATCTTCCCCCTAGGCCCAAATACCAGCTCTCCCCAATGTGTTCCAGAGAGTAGATACTATCATGTTCCTGGGGGCTTCCCCAGAGTACAAGGGCCCACCCCCCCCCCCGCCCACCGCCCCTTGTCCATTGCCCTGCCCACTACTTAGCCTTCTCCAACCTTCTGGAAACGCCGAGACAGCCACTTATCCCAGTTACTGAACATCTCCAGCCATTTGAGCTCCCGCTGCCGAGCCACATCCACTGGAATAGAGCTCTCTCTGCAGGATGGGGGGAGCATGGAAAGGGTCAGTAGCAGTAGTATAAAACCTAGATTGCTAGGGGGAAAGAGGCCAGCTACCTCCTGAGCCTCAAATAGAGACTGGATATAAAGGTATTTTGTGAGCTGCCAAACATCAGGATGTCTGGAGACTTTGCTATCCAAGTCCCTAGTTCACCAAACTGAAGACTTTTTCCCTTTGGAAGGGATCTCTGCACAGACATTGTGTTTTGACGTTGGATCTGTATACAGAAGTGTGTTTAAGTCTCACTTCTGACGTCTGTAAGTTTGGGGAGAGAATATGGAGTATTTAAAACCATACTTTGCATTAGACCTGGATCCAAGTTCTAGCTTTACCATTTATTCATTTATTGTGTCACCTTAGGCAAGTCACTTAATACCTCTTAGCCCCAATTTCCTCATTTGTAAGATGGAGGAAAAAACAATATCTACCAGAAAGTTTATATGAGATAACATATAGCAGGGGTGCAGTAAGTATTATCGATTACTACCCATAAAATAAAATATAGAACATATATACTTCTCTGTCTCCTTAGAAGCAACTGAATTTTCTCCTACCTGACTCTTGAGATCCCTTGGGCCATCGGCAATTCCCTTCACCTCTTCCTCCCTGAAATCATCCCAGATTCCCCAGCAAATAAAGCTTTCCTTACACTGTTTGCCCACTGTTCTGTCAGAGCTTCACATTCAAGATGCCCCATCAGTCTTGAAACAGTTACTTGTAGGAGCCAGTACCAGGAGGTGAGTAGAATGGAAGAGCTTGGGTTTCCAGACAGACCTGAGCTCAAATCCCAGTTACGTCCCTTAGAAGTTGGGGTATCTTGGCAAGTAATAACCTGAGTCTCTTCCTCATCTGTAAAAAGGGATATCACCACCTACATCACAAAGTTATGAGAAGACTATTGAGAAACTTATAAAGGACAGTTAAATGTAAGGGCTCATTAAATGAGAGTTTCTTTTGTCCTAGAAGCTCCTTAAACAAAACAGAAACTCTCTCATTAATCTCTTTAAGTCAGTTCCAAACTCTGCTAAAGGCCAAGATGAGTAAAAAAGCTTTCCTGCCCTCAAAAAGGTCACAAGTTACCAAGGGAAATAATTACAATATGGTGTCTAAAATGCAATGACAAAAATGCACAGAAATATCTACTTAGAGTAGGGAAAGTAGGTATCAGGGAAGGGTTCCTGGAGGGGACATCTGGGGCAAGCCACAAAAGACTGAGTAGAACTCGGCAGGAAAAGGAGGAGAAAGGCATCCCTGACCTAATATGAATCAGTTCAACAGGGCCACAGCACTAAGTGCATGGTGAGTAGTAGTAGGAGAAAAGACCAGAGAGGTTGGCAGAGCCAGATAATAAGAAGCCTATGTGCAGGCTAAAGCACTTGGACATTATACTTTGGTCAGTGGGGAGCTCCTAAAAGTTTTTAAGGTATATGGGGCCCTATCAGCCTCACCTCAGTAGTTTCTTCCAGCATGGAAGATGGATTTTAGAGGGACAATACTACAAAGCAGAGAAATAGCACCCAGCACAGCACCTGGCACACAAGCAGGGCTCACTAAATCCAATTCAATCCAAGTTCCTAGGGCAGCATGGGATTGAGGAGAGAACCACGAGTCCCACAGATCCATATTGTATGAGTGAGGCAGTCCACTCAACTGCTTCTTCATCGGTAAACTGGGTCCAACGACACATTCAGGGAAAACATCAGGGTCACATTTCAGTTTCCTTCCCCTCGTGGGACCATGAATGTTGGTGCTCAAAGGTTTTCTGATTATTTTGTTGGATTACAAAAAACCCTGCCTAGAATATGGCCTAGAATACAGGGATTCTCCCAACACCAGGCAGGTCCCCCATCAACCCCAATAGGCCCAGCCATGACTAAATGCTACTCATTCTTCAAGATTCAGATCAGCATCTGCCGCATTCCCAGATTGGGCAAAAGATCCCTTCCCTAGGTGCTTACAAAATCCTGTGAAGATCTCTAAGCTAAACCTAACACACATTGAAACCAAGTGTTTAGGTATGTTTCTTCCTGCAGATGATCATCATCTTGAAATGACTCTTTTAGCCTTAACATCCTGCACAGGGCCTGTCACCTGGGTGCTCAGGTGATGCTGAACTGACCAGCAGCTTACAGGGGCACAGGAACGATGGGCAAGATCAAACAGAAAGAGAAGGAAGAAGTCAAAAGTGATCACACCCCCACCTCAGGAGTGACTCAGGCCCCCGGAGGGAACTAGGAAAGAGTAAGCTGGGTTGGGGAGATGAGGAAATGGGGAAGAGGACTTCCCCACCCCCTTTCCCTCACTGAAAACACAAGCCTGCCCTTCTCTGTTTCATAGAGGAGTCCCGCCTTCAGGATCTCCCCTCCCTCAATCAAATTCCTCCCCACCCCCACCCCATCAGACCTAGGGCTATGAGAAAAGTGAAGTGCCTGCTTCATTCCCCAGACTCTTTTCCACTATGGTACCAAAGATCTCTACCAGAATCCCTGCCCAGCCAACCCTCTAGAATACCTGGCCCAAAGCTGGAGTTTCATATCAAGCTGGGACAACCTTAGATATCATCACACTCAACCTTTCACTTCAAAGAGGAAACTGAGGCACAGAAATGAGGTAGACATCAGCTCAAGGACATACAATACACCAAAGGCAAGGCTTAGGCTCAAACCCAGAACTCCTGACATCTGCTCTAAAACTCACGAACATAAGAGCGTGCAGAAACTTCAGGGTACTCTAGAGCATGAGTGGAATCACCAAATATCCCACGTTCCCGCCAATCACCCCTGGATCCTCAGAGGCTGGGCTGCCAGTCTGGGAAAGATGCTTCTTTTTTTCCTTCCCCAAACCTCTGCTTCCCTGAAGCAGTCCCATTGGGTGCCCACTGGGTACTCACAGGCTGCCCGAGTACTGGCTGCCCCCAAGGAAGCCATACTTGTCTGTCTTCCGCAAGGCCAGCCCATTTATCTCCGAGTCTGAGCCCATGGAGCTCACATCATCCGCCAAGGACTCCAAGGTCCCAGACATGAGGCTTACGGAGTCCAAGTAGCTCAGAGTGTCCGGGGCCTGCCCTCGAGGCCCAGAAATGCCAGGTCCCAGGCTGGACGTGGAGCCTAAGTCCTGAGAGTTTTCAGTAGGCTCAGGAGCAGGGGTCACCGTCACAACAGCTACCAGAGCCTCACTAGTTCCTGAAGGGCCTGTGCCAGACCCTGAGGGGCCCTCTGGAACCTGTCTTGTTGATGCTGATGTTGCTACTGCAGCTCCATGTCCACTTGTCACCTCTCCTGCTGTCACTGCTGCAATTGCTGCAGTCATTCCTGAGGCCACTGTGGTTCCCGGCTTAGGGGCAAGCGGGGGTTTGGCGGTCAGGGCTCCAGGAGCCATTCTGGAAGGGGTCCTGGTGGAGGTACCTGGTCCAGAAGCGGGTGAGGTTCTAGTCTCCTCCGTCTTAAGAGAGTCTGCCCCTAGGGCCAGAGCCATCGACGTCTCCTCTCTTATTACTGTCGTGGGCTCCAGGGGTTCCGGGCCGGGGGAGATGTGCGCTTCGGGTGAGGCCTCCAGGGTTAGCACCACCACTGTGCTGCCCGTGACCGTAGGGGCCGAAACCAGGGCCGAGGTCTGGGTCGGCCCTGGTACCCACGCAGGCCGTGCCTCCCCGGGGGCCACTAGGGTGACCGGGGCTGAAGTGGCTGTGGTCACTGGAGGCCCCGGGGCCACCACGACGATGGGCCCGGTCCGGGAGCCGCGGGGCGGCGGCGAGGGGGCCTGGGGGGCGCCATGACGGCGCGGCGGAGCCACAAGCGGCGCCGGGCCCGTCTCCATGGCTGCGGGCCGCCCCTCACATCCCCCCCACCACGGCCGGGACGGCCACAGAAGGCGCCGCCCCTCAGGCCGCTCCGGGGCCGCTCCGCACCGCCAGCCGAGGTAGGGGAGGTGAAGGGCGCGGCCGGGCGCGAGCCCGGGGCGGGGGCAGCGCACAGGCTGCCTCTGGGCACGCGGAAGCGGCGCTGGGATCCGGGGATGCCTCGCGCCCGGGTTTCGCTCGCAGTCTTCTCACCCCTAGAGGTCTGTCGCCGCCGCCCCCTCCCTCCTGCTTTGCGCAAGCAGCCAACCTCGCGCCTGCGCACACGCCCGGGTCCCGGCTAAGCGGCCAGCTTTTCACGCCTGCGCGCGGGCCGACCCATCGCGGTTCTTTTTGCTCCCGCCCTGTTATAGGGCTTGGACGAATAATAGGAGAGAGGGAACTGGGCTTCTGCCAATCGCTGGAAGGGTGGGGTGAGGTTGGAGGTGGGAAGAGGAAATGGAAGAAATGTAAAAGACCAATGAGAGGGCGAGTAAAGGCAGGAGGAGGTGGGATGAAGAAAATAACTAATAGAAAAGCAGGAACTGAACCTTCTAGCCAATAATAACGGCGGAAGAGTGAATGACCACAGCAGGAGGCGGGTACTATGAAAGAACAGGGGGGCCCGGCTAATAGGAACAGTAAAAAGGCAGCCAATGAAAAGGGGAACAGGCGGAGGTCAAATTGACAGACAGTGACGTCTATTTAGGTGGTGACAGACAGTATCCTCAGTCAATGGGAAGAGCTGAGAAATTTTTCAATTCTCCCAAGAAGGTCAGAAGGAATGACAGCTAGGGAAGCGGGAGAGGGACGGGCTAAATTTGCGATTAATTTGCCTCATCAACCAATAAGCGCATTCTCTCACTTTAGCAACAGAGGGGCAAAATAAATCACTGTCTCAGCCAATGGCAGTACCCAAAGGGTGCTGCCAGCAAGCGGTGCCAGCTCAGGGATATCTGTGACAACCGGAGACAAGCGCAAGAGGCGGGTGACAGCTAGGGACATCGCGGAGAAGAGACGGGGGCCGGGGACATTAGTGAAGCCCTTAGCCAATAAGAGTGCCATTCTGCCCTGCCTGAGTCCTTTCTGGGCCCCCATTCTCCATCCAGCTACCGATACCCGCCCCTACTCTTGTGGTATATAAGACCCTGAACTCTAACGTACAGCAAGTGCCCTGATCCAGGACTCTCCACCTCCATTGTCTCTGATTCTCTTCCAGCCCCTCAACCAATCCCAACACTTCAAGCCCCGACCACTATAACCAGAGCTCCCACATGATCTAAATGACCCATCTCTTCGAATCTATTTCCTGTGGGAATTCCAAGCCCCAAACCCCTCTATGTGAGTTCCTCCCCAGACTCCAGGCTCCAGTTACTCATACCTCATCCTTTGAGTGTGTCCCATCTAGTGAGGATCCCAGACCCCAATACCTTGAAATCCCACAACTGTGTTCTTATTCTTTCAGGGACTCAAGACCCTTCTATCAACTCCTATCTCCTCATTGCCACACTTCTCCATGCTCCTCATTTTTTGCTAAGAAACGACCCCAATCTTATGAGCACCCAGCCTATCCTAGACCACAAACACAAAGTCCTGACTTTCTGAGCCCTTTCTCTCTCTGGTGCCTATTAACCTGAGCCCCATGGTTAGAGGACGCCAATTTCCATAAGGAGTCCACCATCTTGAAATTTCAGTCAGGCCTAACTTGCCAGTTCCTCCTTGGTTTCTAAAGTTCTCTGAAACTCCTCAGATTCAGATCCTGTGAACTCCCATTCAGTGTCTGAGATATACCACTCCTGAGCTCCTTCTCAACTTCCCAACTTTCCAGGTGATCCAAGCTTTCTGAACACTTTCCCATTTCTGACTTTGGAGTTCTCCTCTTCTCCCAGAACCCAGTAATAAGTGGGCTCCTCCCTGGGCCCAGACCCCCATAGTAACCTTATAAGGTGAGGCAGCTGTCAAACAAGGCAGGGAGGGGCCAATTCAGGAGGCCAAGGGCAGCTGCTAAGTTTAGGGTGGTTCCTTCGCTCTTCTTAGAGACAACAGGTGGCTGGGCCCCAGTGCCCAGAAAAGAAAATGTCTTAAAGGCATTGGCATGAGGCTGGAGGAGAGAGAGGGGAGGAGGCACCTTGCTCAGGACATCGGGTCCTAGAGAGAGCAAGAGGAGGTGTCATTGCCAACCTTGGGCCTCTTGGAGCTTCCTCAGCCACTACTGCCCCTGACCTCTACTGTATGTAGGGGACTGGGGCACTGAGGCCTAGAGGGGTGGGAGAGAGTACCTCAAAGTCACACAGTCAGCCAAGCTGGTTCTTGCCCACAATGGAGAGAGAAGCCTCTGACCATTTCAGTCAACCAAGAGAAAGTGACTGACTAGTTTCCTTCTTGGTGTCTCTGACTCCCTTCCTCTGAGTTCTAACTTTCACACCAGTATCCAAAGAAATGGTTATAGACTCTCACACTAGACCATGTTCTTCTCCTGTTTCAAACCTGTTCAAGGCTCCCAAGGTCTCAGCTCTCAGCCTGGCATGAAAGACCCTCCAGTGCTAAAGAAGTTTCCAGCCCCTTGCATCCTCTACTCAAGCCCCATCACAATTCTGGCGAGCTGAACATGTCTGATCTTTCACTGCTTCCGGCCTTTGCTCATCCATGCCCTCTGCTTAGCACACCTGCCCCTCCACATTCACCTGACTCAGTTCTGTTGGTCTTCACAAAGTCATTCCCATGCTGCTAGACAGGGCTGCTGTGCCCTCTACTTTTATGTCACTTTATTTATCCTATCTCCACGACTGAACTGTAAGATCTACCAAGGCAGGGCCTAAGTAATAATTAGGATTAATTTCACTAAACTATTTCCAAATAGTGTTCACATCCACAAGTTCTGTAAGATGAGAATTACATCTCATTTCATAGAAGGGGAAACTAAGGTGCAGGGAGTTGAATCACAAAGCCCAAGATGACAGAGTAGGCTCTCTGCCCTGAGCTGTGTAGCCTCTTCATACCTAGTGATTCCATGCCCTACATCTTTCCTCACAAAATCCTCCCTTTCTTTGAAAGCGATAAAGATGACTTTCCTGATCTTTCCATCTTTCAGATTCCCCAGATGGCTCTCTCCCACCTTTAAACTCTGCCACTACCCCCACACATACCCACACGTGACTGTGAAACCCAAATGGGAGGAAGGTTGTGTTTGCCAAAATGCACCCATAAGGCATAGCACAGCACCCAACACAACTATAGATGGTCAATAAATTTACTGGGTTTCCCGCCCCATTCGGGGTTATAGGGGCCTAGTTCATCTCTCTCTGAGCACTGTGCCCTGGCTTAGGCCCTCTCTGAACTCTGGAACATTGCTGTCCCCTTTTGAGACAAAGTACATCCCTTCCTGCCCAGATCCTAGTGAGACATGCATCCCAAGACTCACTCCCTCCTCCCTCTCTTTCTGGACTCCAGCTGCTGCAGGCCCTCCAAGAAAGGAAAGGTCCTGAGCCAGGCTATTTTGGTATCTGGGGTGGGCACCCACAGGGCTAAGGTTACCCTGGTATGTTAAGGGCTCCCTGGGGCAGGGCTATATAACCCCAGAGGGACTGCTGCAGGCTGACTCTCTGCTACTTTCCAGCCTTTCCCCCAGGAGACTGAAGACATGGTAAGAATCCCCCAGCCCCTTCCCCGATCCTTCAAATCTCAGGGCAGCCTCACCCTTTGAAAGAAGGTAGCTGATTCCCAGTCCATCAAGATGAAAACAGATGAATCTTCTTTATGGGTATCACTAATAGGGAGCATATATAATGTAGGCCTAAAGAACCCAACCAAGGATAATCCACTCACAGGAGCCCAGTCCCTCTCAAAGCCTGCTCCATACCTTCCTGCACTCCATCTTCCTAAAATCCTCTGGAACCAAGCAGGCAAGGATTCCCACTCCCGTTTTATAAATGAGGAAGTAGTTTCACAAAAAACGGGTGAGTGAATCAGGGTCATACAGGAAGTCTGGAACTCAGAGGAGGTAGGCTCTCAGGGCACTAAGAGGAGGAACCTTCCACTTGTTGGGGAGGATGGAGGGGTGGGACTCAAGGGCTACAGGTAGAAATCTGGGGATGCAACACAAGCAAACACCCTCAGCAAAGAAGTCATAAAGAGAGGGAAGCCTAAAGCCAAGTTGCTTTACAAGAATGAACTTAAAGAGCCCTAAATCTAATCCATTGCCTCCAGAGAATAGTAGGATCTGGCCCATGAGTCTCTTTGCTCCTCCCAGGCACCCAAGAAGGCCAAGAGAAGGGCAGCAGAGGGCGGGAGCTCCAATGTCTTCTCAATGTTTGACCAGACTCAGATCCAGGAGTTCAAGGAGGTGAGCAAAGGGAAAGGGGAGACTGAAGACTGACCAAAGGCACGCCCCCACCCTTCCCCCTATACCCATGCCCCAGCATGTGCACCTGTTTTAGTGGGAGGAAAAGGGTTTAGAATTCCTTGCTCCCTCCTTTCTTGGCATGTAAGAGGACAGCTGGCTGGGGGCCAGAATCTGATCTGCCTAGAGTAAAGATGCTAAAGCCTGGCCATGGGGGACCTAACTCCTCCCTGCCCCTGCCCCTGCCCTCCACAGGCCTTCACAGTAATTGACCAGAACCGTGACGGCATTATTGACAAGGAAGACCTGCGGGACACCTTTGCAGCCATGGGTATGCCCTGCCCCCCACCCCACCCGTAAATAACCAAGGCTGTAGAGTCCAGGGAATTCAGCAGCTTTGGGAGCCAGCCCTGCTGGCTCCACTCTGGGCCTCAGTCTACTCTCATGAAAAATGGGTTGATGATCTGAATTTATGAGAAGCATTACTCTAATGGACCCAAGATCCCACTCCAGCCGATCTTTCCCCCACCCCACTCCAGGGCGCCTCAATGTGAAGAATGAGGAGCTGGACGCCATGATGAAGGAAGCCAGTGGTCCCATCAACTTCACTGTCTTCCTGACCATGTTTGGGGAGAAACTCAAAGGTGAATGAAGTGTCCTGGGTCTGAGCTCCCAGCTGCCCCTTCCCGGACCTTTTAGGGACAGACCTTTCAGGGATCCTTCAGCTTCATGTGCCCTCTGACCCCAGGTGCTGACCCTGAGGACGTGATCACTGGAGCCTTTAAAGTCTTGGACCCTGAGGGGAAGGGAACTATCAAGAAGCAGTTGTAAGTGATCTCCGCCAGCTGCTTACCCACAGAAAGTCTCCTTAAATTCCTACCAAGGGTTAAGCACTGCCAGGGATAATGGAGAAATGAGGACTGTGGATTAGGATTAAATTTTCACAGCACATATGAGTAGAAGCACAAAAGCTAGGAAG